GATATTTCCGATCAAAATATTGATTAATTTTTGTATTTAATCAGGAAACATCCGATGAGAAATGTCGGTTCATAATTTTTTGATTGGTTTATCTGATGAAATGTCATTATGATCGGAAATACCCGATCAAATTTAATCGGATATCCTGATTGAATAAAAATTGATCGGAATTTGATCAGAAATATTTGTCAATTTTTTTATCAGATAATTGATCTCAGTGCAGAATTTACGTAAATATGTGTTGCTTTGTTTTATTATATTTAGCAGAAAACTTAACCACACATGTATAAAAATCTTTCTGCAAATTTTTTAAGTTTTTAAGATATTTTTAAGCTTCTCAATTCAGATGCAAAAATATAGCAGTGTTTTTCAAAATTTTTTTATTTAAAGCACCCACATTTTCGGTATGTACAAACTACGAAACTTTTGAATTAGGCAAATATTACGCTAACTGGCAGAGAGTTTGAAATTTTATATTTAAATTTTTTTTCGTTTTCGTCATATATTGAGCAATGTTCTTATTTATTTTTGCACATACTTTTATTGCGTAAAAGCATTTGTAATTCTGTACAACCAATACGACGTAAATATTGCAGAGAAATGTCAATATTCGATCGTTTTTCAGCTTCAATTTCTCCTTAATCTTGGGTTGTCGATTAAAACGATAATAAACTGGATAAGGGCCTTTCGAATATTGACCGTCGTAAAGTATGCTTTCTTAAAAATAATTCAATACATCTGATAACTGTGATATTAGGCATAAAGACGTTCATATTGTTCATGGTTGAAGTTGTAGTTTAGTGTTATCTACTGTCTTTGTTATATAGAGATAAAAATTTATTTCTATTTAAAAGAAACTGAAGGTGATCCTAAAATCTTACTACAAGCGACAACAAAATTTGAATAATGCATTGTATAACTCTCTTCGAATCATGCAATATTTTTGGGTTTAACTTTTGTTGAAATCAATATCAATATTTACAGCGTTATCGAAATGGTTCTAGTTATGTTGCTTTTTATCCTGTATATTGAATATTTACATATATCCTACATATTGAAAATTTAACACTTTAAGCCTTTAAGCCTTTAAGCCTCACTCTACGTAATCATGTGCTTTTAAATTATTTAATTTTCAGTCAAATTATGACGTATTTTAAATTATTTATGTACTTTCAAATACATCAAATTTTTCATATCGGCAAAATCATGAAGTGAAACTGTGATTTTTCCACTAGTCAGAGCAACTAATATGATGATAGCGTGCAGAACAGAATCGCGTTGGCGCTCGAAATAGTGTAAAGTTTTTCATAAAACAAAAGTAAGCAAAAATTTTATTTTCTCCTAGTTTGTTGTAGATATTATCTTATATGTTAAATCAATCTTAAAGTAAAAGATTAACGTCTTTATGCCTAATATTACAGTTATCAGATGTATTGAATTATTTTCAAGAAATCATACTCTACGACGGTCAATATTACTAGGAACGCAAAACTTTTCAGCAGGAGCGTCTTTTAAAAAATTATTTTCTAAAGAAAACAATTTTACTCGAACGGGATCGATGTCTGAGCCTTAAATGTCTCAAATATTTAAAGACCAAAACAATAAGTATGTCCAGGATCAGCTACACTACAAAAAATTATCCGATAAAAAATTAATAAACAGATATTTCTGATCAAAATTCTGATGAATTTTTATATTCGATCAGGACATCCGATTAAATTTAATCGAATCATTCCGACCATAATGGCATTTCACATCAGATAAACCAATCAAAAAATGATAAACCGATATTTCTCGTTCGAATACAAAACCGAATAGAAAAATTCATCGGCATTTTGATCGGAAATATCTATTTGTTAATTTCTTATTGAATAATTTCTTTCAGTGTACGTGGGGATTGTGCGGTACCCTTACTTAAATGTTGATCCGTTATAAGTTCGAATAGTTTCGAATAGTTTCGCTACGGAGAAGCCTTCACTTTCAAAAATATGACGTTTCCCCGCAAACCAGAATAGAAGCGAATAATAGCGGCCCCACGGACTCTACCGTCTTACGGAAGTATCGCATTCCAAAGACGGCCTCGAGCCGTCTCCTTCGGCAATCGAAGGCAATACGTCGTATGGCCGGCAATAACGTCATCGCGCGCGCGCCTAATGATGGTCGCGTCGTCGTTCCCGATTTACTCCGATCGAGTGGTCCCGTCCAGCGTCGATCCGTCGCGCAATAACCGCACACACCCGTCCATCCATGTCCTCGATCACTCGACGCATCCCGCGCTCTCATCGTTCCACATTATATGGGTATGTGTGTGTGTGTGTGTGTGTGTATATAAAATATACCTTCACACCGATGTACCTGCGCCATAAATCTTCCCGCACCAGGTGCGAGCGCCGCGACGCCGACCATCCGCTTCCTCCCACCAGCCGCGGAATCCTCGGATTAGCGCGTGCGTGAACCTCCACAGGTTCCGATCCGCGTGTGTATGTGACAGCGAGTGTCACTGTGAAGCGTACACACGCGTTATCCCGGTGCGACCGATAGAGAGGGACGCTTTTGCAGAAGAAAAACGGAGGGAGAGCAAGAGATCTAGATCATTGAAGAGGGAGGAGAGGAAGAATGAGAGAGAGAGAGAGAGAGATAGAAAGGGAGAGAAAGAGACGAGGATTCTTGATAGACGAGGCAGACTGGCGTCCGTTGCACGACGGCTTCTTCTGGTAGCTCCGCTGGAAAAAAGATCACCCGGCCAGATCGTCCGGCCGCCTCCTCGTCCTCGCCGCCGACCGACTTTGGTGCTCGCGCGGTCGTCAGTCGCGCCGGAGATGCGCCCTCGTGAGGTCGACTGACAGACGCCATCAGGCTGGAGACCTCGGTAACGAGACTGGCTGGAGAACACCGGGAGAAGACGTAGTCGACGTTGTACGGTCGATCGTTGGTTGGTTTGTGGTTCGCTCGTCCCTCTCCTCAGGTCGCCCCGCGCAACCCCTCCGCGGAGTCACGGCTTCTTTTTTAGCGCGCACGACTCGGGGAGATTTATCGTCGTCCTATACGGGGGTTCTCGTATCTGGATTGTCGCCTTCGACACGTGACGTCGCACTTGTAGTTGGGCTCTTTCACTTGCGTTCGACCACCCCGTCGAGTCGTAAGATATAAATATATATATTTTTTTCTTTTTTTCTTTTCTTTATTCGTTAACATAATCTCCTCTGCGTAAAATAAGGGCAGAATCCACTCGCGAGATAAGATAAAAATTAAGGATTCAACAGAGAGACGCGAAATTTGTCCTGCGCGAGTTTGACGCGCGTTTTGCCTTGCGATTCGCGCGAGGACGAGATACATCTGCGACTCTTCCGACGCGAAAAGTCTACATCTGCTCGTTCTTCCGTTTTCAAACGACTCCTGCGACGATCAGAGCGGTCCTGACGCGAGGATCGGGGCGACCTGGCGAACGAATCGCGATAATCCTCGTCAAGTTACGTCGGCGGCGAAGGAAATTCGCACGATCCCGAAGTGTCCTCCTTGGAGATGATTTGGGCGGAGAAGGACACGGATAAACCGAACACGTGGCAGGAGGTATCGACCTTCTACAGAGCTTGGTTGAAGACCGTGTCCTGCAGCGAATTCGACCACGCCGAGCGCGGACCGATCTGTTACGCTAAAATCGTCCAAGAGAAAGAAGTGCCAGGACCCGGACTCGACTTCGCGCCTCTCATCTTCCAGAGCATCTATTATATCCACACCAGAAAAGGTTTCGCCTCCGAGAAGCTCTTCAAAATGCGTTGTCGATTAATTCCGAGCTAATGGGGGACATTTCAAATGTTCGAAACGTTCAACCGAACAAATTGCAATTCACCGTGATCGAATTGTCGGGCTTGTATTATCGGGAAATTAACTCACAGTCATTTTCCGGTGCAATTCGGTTACTCATAAACGCTTTTAGGAAAATTGAATTCTTAATTAGAAGACCCGCATTTTATTGCTGGATATTTTGCGTGTCGTATAATTTTTCCACAAGTATTCCATAAGTTTATATATCCGCAAATCTATCACAAATGTTCATTATGAGCTCGTCAGATTTATTTAAAATACATTCAAAATAAATTCTGAATCCTAGCAAGCTTAGTATTTCAATCAAGAATATTAAATTAAAACGAGTATTCGACTACATAGAGTCAAATCAACTTTTACGTCTTTGATAAAGTTTTATAATATTCTCATAAGGAGAATCAATTCTTCTTTCAAATACATGATAGTGAATTTTTCTCAAATTTGAAATATTTTAGGATTGTTATCAAGAAAGTATTTTTTATTGAAGATAACCATTACTTAAAAGAAGGAAAGTAAACCAAGTAATCGCTCTTTTTAGCAGCAGAATGATATTTTTCTCCGTGTAACTTAGGCATTTTACTTTTTCAAGATCTCTTTCGTAAATTTTCTATACGTGTCTGTACTCGTGGCTGCGGATGGGTTGTTCGCTATTTCTGTACGAATTCTGGAACGCACATCTTGGCCAATGGGAGAATTTGTTTGCTAGTATAAGAATTCTCTCATTGGCCAAGACGTATGCGTTCCAGAACTCACGCAGGAAATAGCAGACCAGCTACCTAACCGTGAGTATACACGTAATAATGGTAAATATACAGTAATGGTCGGTAAAAAATATGGATGTGCCAACTTATTAGAAGCTCGATGCGGTTTTCGCGAAGGCACGTTGAGTGTACAGGAAGTAGTATTATATTTCCGAGAAGGAGAGAGGAAAATTATTTATAGACGCTAAAATGTTACTCTGCGTATATCTCCTCAAATACGAAGCGAAGAATGACAAACATAACTATCAAGTGGTTATTTTCGATACGAAAATTTTGTTTGGGTGCGAAAGCTGCAGTTTTGCATACCAGTGCCAACCAATCGTGGCGCACACGAAGAGAACTATGTCGCGTCGGTGGCCTTGTATTGTGCATGAACAAACATTACCAACTCTGTATGTGTGCGCGTGTTTTCAGCTGAAGTGAAGATGCCTAGCGGAAACGTGGACAAGCCGGTCATCGAGGACAATCACGATGGCACGGTATCCATCAAGTACGAGCCGCGGGAAGAGGGACTGCACGAGATTTATGTGAAATTCAACGGCGAACACGTCCAGGGTGAGTTAATCCATTCATCTAGCAAATTAACAGCGATTACGCAATCGTGGAGCGCAATCGATCACATGGCGGTTCACGAAGTGTCCAAGAATACATCGTGCGAGTCTGCAACTCGTGTGTAGAAGCATAGAATTCGCGCGATTTCTGGAACATAGGAGCTATGTGAAAATTCATTCTCCGTGTAATAGAGATCGCAAGGGTGTCGGTTCGCGCTAATAATAAATCGCCGTCCGGCAAATTAATTTCATCTTGTCCAACGCTCGTTAATTTTCCAATTACCTTCGGATGTCGATATTCACATCTTAAGGAGTTTATTCACCAGATATTATTTTCAGAGTGTATCACAAGCGTATTGATTTACTAGATACCAAATTTATTAAATATCAAATTTTTTTATTTAGATGGTACCACTTTTTATGTTATACTGAAATAACTTAGTTATACTGAAATAACGATCATCTACATTGTTTCTGCCATGAGGTAACACGTCCAGAATTAGGATATTCAATATTTAACTTCTCAGAACGCGCGCGCGCGATGCAGACAATTGCATGAAACTTTAACCACGAGTGTGTTTTATTGCAATAAATATTATGTCAAATTTTTATATAATTTGAAACATCTTTACATCATACAGGTGAATAAATTCCTTAATACAATATGTACGCCATCGAAATCTTTATTTTACACAAGCTACTTGAATAATTGCAATTTTTTAAATGACATGTTCTTTTTTTTCTTAATTTTATTTGAATTTTTGCGCACGCTCGACAGATTATATATATTTGATAATCATGTGCAGGTTCTCCCTTTAAATTCCACGTCGATTCTTTGGCGAGTGGATATGTAACGGCATACGGACCAGGTCTGATCTATGGCGTCTGCGGCGAGCCTGGAAACTTTACCATCTCGACGAAGGGCGCCGGTGCGGGCGGCCTCTCATTGGCTGTCGAAGGGCCCAGCAAAGCCGAGATCTGCTGCCACGACAATAAGGATGGCACAGTTTCCGTATCTTATCTGCCCACCGCGCCCGGTGAATACAAAATCACCGTTAAATTCGGCGACAAGCATATCAAGGGCAGCCCTTACGTCGCCAAAATTACAGGTTTGCAAGAGAATTCTTTTGCATTTTGCATGTTATAAAGCGCGAATTTTCTACATATATATTATATAATTTTATTTTTCTCTATTATATTTCCTTAGATTTATATATTACTAGTTAAACTATCTCTCTTTCCCTCTTCGATGTTGCCTGGATTTTTTATATCTAGAACATCTAGACTTAAATTATCACAAAGTGTCAAGGGGGTGAAATCAGAGGGAAAGGGTAGGGTGTACAGTTTTCATGTAGCTTATATTTTGTGCAGGATCTTAAGAGAATAACAAAATAAAATTTGGTTTAGATCTGTCAAAGAGTTTAGGAGTTTATAGGGAACATAGAGGCAGACATTCTATTTTATAATTATTTTTTACTATACGTTTTTCCTTTATTTTTACACATTATATTATTTAATTTTTTTGAAAAAAGATAACGAAAGTAATAGAAAATTGTAACATCATCATCAAATGTAACGTAAAAAATTAAGCAAACCGTCACGCAGTCTTTAGAAGGGATTTCATTAAACACTGCTTCCAGGCGAGGGTCGTAAGAGGAACCAGATCTCCGTGGGTTCCTCCAGCGAGGTGCAGCTGCCGGGCAAAGTGTCCGATGCTGACATTAAGTCCTTGAACGCGTCGATCACGGCACCCAGCGGCCTGGAGGAGCCGTGCTTCTTGAAGAAGATGCCGAGCGGCAACATGTGCGTGTCGTTCACGCCGCGTGAAGCAGGCGAACACACCGTGGGAGTGAAGAGGATGGGCAAGCACATACCGAACTCCCCCTTCAAGATCGACGTGAAGGACCGTGAGGTCGGCGACGCAAAGAAAGTCAAGGTCTCCGGGCCTGGTCTGCAGGAGGGCAAAACCCACGTGGAGAACAACTTCTCCATCGACACGAAAAACGCCGGCTTCGGCGGTCTCTCTCTATCTATGGAAGGGCCGAGCAAGGCTGAGATCCAGTGCAAAGACAACGAAGATGGTACCCTTAACATCTCGTACAAGCCTACCGAGCCCGGCTACTACATCATGAATCTGAAATTCGCGGACCACCACGTCGAAGGCTCACCGTTCACCGTCAAGGTCAGCGGAGAGGGTAGCAACCGACAAAGGGAGAAGATCCAGAGGCAAAGAGAGGCAGTGCCGATCACCGAGGTCGGTAGCCAATGCAAACTGACCTTCAAGATGCCTGGCATCACGTCCTTCGACCTCGCCGCCACCGTCACATCGCCTGGTGGCGTCACCGAGGATGCTGAGATCAAGGAGGTCGAAGACGGCTTGTACGCGGTGGCCTTCGTGCCTAAGGAACTCGGCGTGCACACCGTGTCGGTTCGTTACAAGTCCATGCACATCCCTGGCTCGCCCTTCCAGTTCACCGTGGGCCCGCTCAGGGACGGCGGTGCTCACAGAGTCCACGCGGGTGGACCCGGGCTGGAGAGAGGTGAGCAGGGTGAACCCTGCGAGTTCAACATCTGGACCAGAGAGGCGGGTGCGGGCACCCTCGCCGTCTCCGTCGAAGGACCTAGCAAGGCGCAGATAGACTTCAAGGACCGCAAGGATGGCAGTTGCTACGTCAGCTACGTCGTTAATGAACCTGGTAAGCCGTGAGAGTGCTTTCTCGTGCCTGTATTCACGCATCTTTCGCAACTAATCATCACAGTTTCTTCGATGGTCCTCACTCTGATCTCTCTTTAATCGAAAAAAGGGTCTCTAGCTTGTAAGCTTTTTGATTGGCTTTCAGTCACATTTGTCGAGGTACCTTTCATCGATAAAAGAGAGTTCAAAATAATGACCTCTGTTTCTAAGAGAATTTTGGATTCACGCGGTGTGAAGGAACGCATAAAGTCTGTCCGTAGACAAGATGACTGCGGTTGTCGCGATTGTTGCACGTTTTCGAAAGCAGCGTTAAAATTAGGACTGAAGAGCCAATCAGAGCTTTTAAGATGTAGACTTGAAACGTAAACCAAGCTTTAAACGCACGTATTCATTTCACTCAAGTAGTATAGTTCATTGGCCCAACATTGGTATACATTGGGATTATATTAGATTGGGATAATATTAGATACAAATAAAATGAATTGTCAATGTTGCACAACATGATTGTACCAATATTGACATATACTGAATGTACTTTGGGCTAATATAACCCAATATGTAGCCAATATTTGTAACAATGAGTTGTCGACGTTCGGAATTCTATATTGGCTATAGAATGCAAGATGTCTACTTTACAATATTGAGTTAATATTGGGACCAAATTTGTAGCCAATATCGTCCCATTGAACTATGCTACTGAAGTAGTAGAATTTCGTGGTAATTCGGTTAGTGCACAATTTAAAAGTGCTACTTTCGGGAATTAGCATCGTGTGAAAGCTAGCCGACTCTCACAGCGAAGTGTTCATCAGATGCTGCGAAGAGAATGGACATTCGCCAAAGTCGATATATCATTCTCATTTGTCGCGATTGTTACAAAAACGGTTCGCATTCCAAGATAGCAATGCCGGTTCCTATATATTTACGCGACTAACTCGCACGCTTAATCCACCCCGCCTGCGTCACGGATCGAGCATTCGCCCCACGACTTACGATCCTGCACTTTGTATCGCGGTGGATTATTCTCGCCGTGCGTATAATCGATCGTACGCCGTCGTTCACGAATGACTCACAGACGTTCGTCCAAAATTATCCGCGCGGATTCTGTGGATCGTCGATGGTGCTCGCGCGAGCGCTAAATCATCCATGATGTGGACGTTGGATTTCGTCGTGCTCGGCTGAAATCGTATAATATCGAGACGAACGCAGTTCCACTTTATTTTTGACGATCTCATATTTTCGATAGCCGTTACGTCAGACGCGCGAGTAACTGTCACTTAAAATATGAGATGTTACTGACTCCTAAATTTTTTTCAAAACGGAGAAACATCTTCAGGTATCTTCTCATATTCAGAATACAGTCATCCCACATATTTCCTATTTATTATAGGCTGAAAAAAAATATCTAGAAAAAAACTATTTATTCGGCGGATATTAACACATATTTACTTAAATAAACAATTACTTTTATGAAAAATTAACTTAAGGTTTTGAGTAAACGTTTTCTTTTTCTTATTTGAAAAATCTTTGATATTAGTACAAGTAAAAGTAACTAATAAATTAGTAATTAATAAATATGTTATTAGTTTCCACCGAGTAAGTACTTTTTATTAGACATTTTTTCTTCCAGTATATCTCCTAAACAACACAGGATATACTGCCTAAAGACGTCCTGAGAACGTCCCCAGAACATCCCCTAGAGATCTTGTGTTGGGTCTTTAGTTGTTTTTAATTAGAATAGTCGAAATCTATATTAGTATTAAATAAAAAACATTCAATTATCACATGCTTAAATTTCGTCAATTTGATACCAATGTGTAACTGAAGGAAGCAAACGTGAGCAATATCTTCTTTTATATTCTCATCATAAACGATCCAATATTCGCTAGACGAGAAGCTAACAGAGATTCAATTAGCGCGACAGACTTTGGATATCCAACGTTCGATAGTCGACACCAACGAGCACTCGCTCCCGCTAAAATTTTGCCAAATTCTCGACACTAAATTCACCCGGGGAATCGCCACTGAAACAACTCCCGTCGATGACGGGACATCCTGTATTTACATGCGGTCGGATTTACGTGCGCAGCGTGTAGCCGCGGACGTAGATCAACGTCGGTCATCCACAACAAGTGTTAATGAATCCCCGGTTCGGGTGGCTCGTTGATCGTCGTCGCTCTACACCTACCCTCTCCTCTTCCTCCCTCTTCCTTCCTCTCTCTCCCCTCATCTCTCTCTCTCTTTCTCTCTCTCTCTCTCGGTCCCGATCCCGAAATATCACCGTCTATATTTGTTAAGGTGAATCCATATTTTGGCTCCGGTTGGCCACTCGCGGCTGGACGCGGATTAGCGCGATGGTTATATTTGGGCCCGTGGGAGCCGGCTGTGACGGAAGGGTGGGGTGTCCGGAGGGGGCACAGAGGCGCGAAGCGAAACACGATGGCGCGGGGAACGAGGGGGAGGCAAGGGGAGAAAGCTCGCGGACGAATCGAGATCAGGATCGACTCGAGGAAAAGTAGTGGTACGCGACCAACCTTCGGCTACAGCTGCGATCGCTCGTCTCCTCCTATTTCTTTTTCTCTCTCTCTTTCTCTTCCTCCCTTTTATTTCCTTTTCTTTTTTCTTCTTTCCATCCCCCCTTCGATCGAACCCTTGTAGTCAACCCCCCGATTCTCTCCTGTTCCTCGCTCTATCTCTTGCTCTCTCACTTCGTCTGCCAAGACAACCTGCTCCCTTGACGTTGGGGCTTCACTTCCGGAAGAGAAACCCGTGACGTAGTTCGGGGTCGATGGCTACTTTCACAGCCACCAAGCAGTTCGTCCTGACCGGAAACGAGCCGCAGGAGTCTCAGGAAGGCGATGGTTAGTTCGGTAATCCGTTGAGAGCGGATGTGCTCGCGAGGTTTCCCCTCGATTGTGGAGCAGAGGCCGTAGTTCGCCCTAAATGTACCGCGCATCTATAATAATAATACCTTAAACAACGTGTTTCACTTGGGAGATGTTAACATTGAAGATATGATCTATTCACATGAATATTAATCGCACAACAAAAGCTTATGATGTATTCTAATTTTTTTATTATTTTACGGGAAAAAGTTTACTCGTACAACATGATGTTTGGTTATAACGAACGAACTGATGTTTTGGTTGATGAAAACGGAATTTCTACTTCTTAGAGCCAAATTTCGATGATAAGAACCTCAGGAATTCTGTATCCTTCAATTAAAACGCGTTAATTCGTTTATTGGAACTAAATTCGTTTATTGAAACTTCAATTAATATAACTTTTCTCTATGTACATTGTAAATTTATTCCGACTAAAACCTGATTATTAGTTGTTTCAGTCGAATTTTAAATGGGACCATCATAGAGAATCAGGTCATGCGTGTTCCACAGACTGATAAATTAAACGCATTTAGCCTTAACTAGAAACATCTACACGCAACATTGAATTTACCGTATATTTACGTCAATGCGGTCAGTCTCGATAATGCTTGTTGATCGACCATCGATGCTACAGTGAGAAAAAATACTTGAAGATTTATTTCGTGGGATATAAAGTTTATTCGCAAAAATAAATTTTGTTTCGCGGAAACAAACTTAATTTCCTAGAAATAAACTTTATCTGCCACAAATAATGTTTAAAATATTATTTTTTCTCAGTGTGCATCCCTAACTCATCCGTTTTTGCACTAATCGCCACGTGGCGTTTGTTTTCAGGCGAATACAGGGTGGGAATTAAGTTCAACGATCAGCACATTCCTGACTCGCCGCACAAGGTTTACATCTCGCCGGCGATGGGCGACGCGCACAAACTCGAGGTCGCGCAATTCCCCGACAGCGGAGTGCAGCCCGACAAACCGTACACCTTCTTGGTGCGCAAGAACGGCGCCAAAGGTGAACTGGACGCGAAGGTAATTCGCTCCTTTCCGCCGGCACAACAAGTGACTCGAGTGGCCGTATAACGTCGGCGTAATTTCCAATAAATCTCCTTGCGAAAGAGAGGAGGAGGAGGTGTGCAGGAGCGCCATAAATAACTCGCGCTTGTGAAACGACGCTGCCACATCAGACCGCGTAGGTGGGACCGCGAACGTATTTTTACTGTGCACCATGTGTACACAGTCGGGATGAGTCACGTGGAGAGTCTCAACGCGAGGAAGTAGCGTCGTGCCGCGTGCTCCCTTAATGTGGCACCTCGCTTGAAAGTCGCGATGTCTCCTTTTGAGCTTGACTTTTTGCGGCCCACTACTCTCGCTTCGAAAGCATCGGGCCTATAGTATTGTAAAATATGCAACGTTCAGACAAAGCAACAGTCAAATCATTTATTACGATGATTATATCATCGTTACATCGATGTTCATCAGTTACATCATCGGAGAAAAAGAAAAATCAGACTTTACAAGTCATACAATGTCAATTATAGGCGACAGAAATGTCCATAAATTGAAATGGGCGGAACTTAAATAAAGAAATTACTTGCTGGCACATTAAAAAAACACGGCGACACTTCATTGGTTATTGTGGAGCAAATTTGCTGATGACACCCGGAATCGCGTCTTATTACAGATGACTTAACGTCAGATAACGTCATGATTTAACATGGTGTGTAAAATTTAAAAGAGGAATATGTCATTTTTTAACTTCATTATGCTAGAAGTCAGTGTTTATGAATACTTCGTTATATATTACTTTCTCGTAAGACATTTAATCGTAAACATTATCAAGCTAAGAAGCTGAAGATTGTATACAAGATAACAATGCAAAGAGAAACGTCACAAACGAAAAAATGTAAACAGTGGAATATAACAAACGAAGAAGTATCATAGACGATAAAATATCTGAAAAAACAAATGTCCACAAACAAGTGTCTAACGACGAAATAAAAAATGACAAAGCAACTTCCTACTGCACTATGTGAGAGAACAAAATATTAAAAAATAATAAAAAAAAATTTAATTAATCAACGGATATTAATAATATATTGTCTAGAATATTTATCTAGAAATCTAAATTCTTTTATTTAAATGGAATAAATAATTGCACTTATGAGAAGTCAAGGTTTGAAGAAAATACATATTTTTTCATTTGAAAAATATTGTCAGTATAAAAATGTATACATTAATATAAGTAAATATGTTATATTTTAGTATTCACCGAATAAATATATTTTGTATTTCATATATTTTCTCTTAGTACACTTATGGGGATAAAACGCTTTTGCTGTGCGTGTGGAAAGTTTAAATCCTCAAAACACAAATTTTTTTCTTTAATAGTTAAAAATAAAAAATCCGATTTTTTTCAAAAAATTGCGACTGTACTAGCCTGTCAAAGTTTACATTGTCGAAACAAATTTTTTTTAAATACTTTTTTTACATAACTTCGGTTTGAAGAATTATTTATTAAAAAATCGACTCTAATAACTTTTAAAGAATTTCTCGCAAATTAAGAATATATTTTTCTTTTTCTGCTCAGAAATTTTTATAAAAGGTTACCAGACCTACTATAAAAAAAAGATGTTTCAAAAGGCTGCACTTCCGCCATTATTTTGTCTTTTGTTTCTTAATTTGGAATCATTTTTACTAATATATAATGTAAATTCATATCAAATTTCATAATAAAATTAAAAAAACGAAAAACGAAAAACAGAACTTTATAATTAAGTTTTCCACGGGCGCGTCAAAAGTATTTCATGCCCTTAAAAATTTTTACGGGAAAACTAAAGACTGACTTTGAGTAACATCGATCGATCTATTTCAGATCGTTTCGCCGAGCGGCATTGAGGACGACTGCTTCATCCAGAGCATCGACGCGGATACGTACTCGGTGAGGTTTATGCCGAGGGAGAATGGCATCCACCAGATTCACATCAAGTTTAACGGCGTGCACATAACCGGCAGTCCCTATCGTATCAAAGTCGGTAAGGTAGACGCTGACCCGGCGGCGTTACACGCCTACGGCAACGGTCTCAAGGAGATTAAGACCGGTCAAAAGACCGACTTCATCATCGACACCTGCAACGCGGGCTGCGGCGCGCTTGGTGTCACCGTTGACGGACCCAGCAAGGTCGCCATGGACTGCACGGAGGTCGAGGAAGGTTACAAAGTCAGGTACACGCCTTTGGTGCCGGGTGATTATTACATCAGCATCAAATACAACGGATACCACATCGTGGGCTCGCCATACAAGGTTCCTTGCACAGGTGTGTGTCCTTATTGCGTTCAAGATGTGTATGATACATCATACGATAGAACGTGAAGTACTGAGAACGCTGAGATTGACGTAAACTGACGTGGAAGCTACGTTATTAGAGAAATCTTTCGCTTAATCATTATTATTATTATTATTATCGTTGTTATTTTTACAAATCCATATTATCTTTCGACCTAAGAACTCAGAAATCTCTCTATACTGAAATCTATATAAAATTTAAGAAATATCTTCGGATAGATACTATCATTTACTTGTATTAATACGTCTTCGAAATAAGACGATACATATTTTCTTCAAACTTTTATGAGAGCAATTATTTAAATAATAGATTTAAATTTAAGTAAATATCTTACTAGTACCCAATGTGGAATAAGTATCTTTTATTTCTTAAATATTTTCTTTCAGTATACGTTCATTTTCAGCATTTTACGGTGTGCGTGATTTAGAAGTACACTGAAAGAAAAAGTTTTGCCAATTTAACAACATATCGGTATCCGCAACAAATGGTTTGTTGCTTTCGATTTGCTGCTTCAAGTAACACTTCTGTAATGAAGACACAACTAACATAAATAGACGAGAACAAATGTGATTTGCATCTCAGATAAAGTAGGTTGTTAAAATGACAAATGATGAGAATGATTTGCAATGATAATTGTTCGATCTGTTTTCCTAACGATCGTCAAACAGTTAACGAGTTTTTGTTCTGATAGCCGAAGGATTTTTCTGAGTGCAATTACTGTTGTAGGTTCGGACTTGGCTGAGAGGGGTGCACAAGAGACAAGCTCGATTGTCGTGGAGACTGTGCAAAAGATATCGAAGTCCAAGCAGGCCGGTCCAGTATTGCCGTTGTTCAAGTCTGACGCGAGCAAAGTGACGAGCAAAGGGATGGGTCTCAAGAAAGCTTACTTAGGAAAACAAAATCAGTTCACCGTGAGCGCGGGAGATGCCGGTACGTTCTGTCACTGCCATCAGATTTATCGTCATAAGTTATATTTTCGTTATCAACACGCTCTATGTCTCTCACGAGCGAGTCGTTTCCTTAATCCATCGATTATATCTTGCTTTTTGATATTTATTTATTATTCATATTAAATTACTTATTATTAATATCAATAAGGAACTTATACAGTACAGATATCCGAAATATATCTCAAAGACCAAAGATATCACATCGTCTCTGGGACGTCTCTGGGATGTATTTCGGACATTTAGTGCGGTATGGGAAGTATGCTGTATGGTGCTATGTCAGTTCGACGAGATCTTCATTATCGTCATTACGAGTAACGCGATTAAACGATCGTCGCGTCGTCCAATTAACCATCGCGCCTGATCGCGCACGTTCGACCCTAATTGACGCCGTAATTGCAGGTAACAATATTCTCTACGTCGGCGTGTACGGACCTAAGGGCCCATGTGAAGAGGTCTACATGAAGCACACGGGCCGCAACAACTACAACGTGAGTTACCTGGCGCGCGACCGGGGCGAGTATATCGTGATCGTCAAGTGGGGCGACGATCACATCCCTGGCTCACCTTACAAGGTCGAAGTTTAACGCGTCCCAGCTGGTTACACCACCGCGTCTGCTGCCGCGGTGACGCGCGAGAAACGTGGAGGCTATGTCCTGTTTCGATGCAAATCAGATCGCCTTGATCGCCAAATTGGATCGCCATAGAAGCGCTCGGAAGCTTCGACAATGCAGATAAACTGAGATTCGCGCTCTCGCGTGAACATCACCGGAACACATCGGCGAAAAAGCGACCTGGAGACCCAAAAGCGATCCGGTATACATCGAAACGACGCGTCGCTCGATTTCTTGAATGGCAGTTACATCCAGGAGACAACTCGAATCGAAATTCAAGTCCTACTTTCGACCTGAACTTTCTAACTGTATATTCTCAAGCTGTATATTCTCAAGGATCAGTGTACGTTTAATACACGTGGAAACTAAAGTCCTACTTGGCGCCTTTAAACAGCACAGAAAACACACAAATATTTGTAGGTTCTAAAGAGGACCACTCGGCAAAGTTAGTAGATAAATAGATAGAATCAAAAGAGGTTGATATAGGCTTTAGAGTATCAGAGTAGGTGTTAAGTGGAACATTGGGTCGAAAGTAGGATGAGAACTTCGACCTGGGGACTGTTGACACTGACGATAAGAAAGGAAAGAAATTTCGATATGTATGTAACTTCTTGCCGATGTAGTTAATTCGCTCACCCTTTCACGGTCCCGCTGGGGGACTCGGTCTTGACATCTTAGGATTGACAATTTTTCTTGAACCTGATACACAGTAGTGCCACGCGAATAGAAGTGACGAGGAGTTTAAAGGGCGATCGAGAAAGAGAAACACGTAGGTCAATTACACGTTCGTTCGAAATCACCAATTGTGCCTTTGATTCGACGTAAGTACACCCTTACAGAGTCCACACACCGCACACGTAAATACATCCAAAATACACACGTGCGAAGACACGTACAAAGACACACGCAAAGACGCGATCATGCCACCCACAAGTCAGATCATAAATATATTACATTATATGTTATCGGTTATTAAGTATAGATTAAATATATTGCAAATTGATTATTATAACGATAATATAGAAGTTAAATAAATAATATATTTATTAATATGAATCCCCTTTGCTTTACCATCCTTCCGCGGAAATTCATTTTCTGTACACAGAAAAATACGTGCTGCATTCAAGAAAATGTTTTGTTTCAAGAAACATTTATTATAGTAAGTTTGTTATAGTAATTTATTATAGTAAGTTCATATATCCGCAAATTTGGCATGAGTTTATCATAAGTATCAAATTTATTCAAAATACACTCAGAATTTTGGTAAAGTTAGCATTTTAACCAAGAATACATTGAGAAAATAGTGGTTAATGAGATTTCGTTTGAATGAATAAGTTTGTTCAAGCAAAAGTTTAGTCGATTGAATGAATTACATAGTTGCTGTGATGATACTTATCAATTGATTCAATGATTGCGATTTAGTCAGTAATCATATTAACGCAACTTATTGTTGCACTAACGCGTAATTTGTTCAATAAGTATATTTTTTTAAAAGCAAGTGACTGCTGATTTCGTCGATTCAACTGCTTTTTTTCAATTATTTTATCCTTAGTTTAATTCCTCAATATTAAATTAAAAAGAAAATCTGTTTACTTACTATATAGAGTCGAACCAAGCTTTCCTTTAATAAAGTTTTATGACATTCTCGTGAGGAGTATCAATTTTTCTTTTGACATTTGAATACTTTTGAGATGAGCTTTTTAAAAATTTGTAATGAGTATATTTTGAGACTATTGCTTAGGAAATATTTTTTATTAAAGATAAGTATTATCTAGAAAGAAAAAAAGGTAAATTAAACCTTCGTTTCTCTTAGCGATAGAATGATATTTCTCGTATGATCGATAAAAATCGGATGATTTTCTCGGTGTGATCGATAAAAATCGGAGAATACAGATCGAAACGTTACATTCACTTACAGTGACATAATAATAAGACCGGATTACGCATCCATACGAACATTTCAGTTTACTCTTCCGCAAATTAATTTCAATCAACGACCCCAGATTTCGCTAGAAGCCAAAGATCTTTGCGTCGAAAGTGTGTTTATCACGTAAGAGATATCTCTCTCTCCTTTCTCTTTCGTTTCTCTAATCAATATTACGTAATGTCATAATGTTCTCACGCCAGCTACTTTGCGCGCTTTCCGCTTTTCGTCTCATTGAATAAGATCGCGCGTCGCGATAGCCGAGGACAAAATTAATTCGATAGGATAAGCGATCGCCGCGCGCAAACCCGATCGTCGTGTTTCTCGCGAATAATAATTTATTTCGCGCATTTACGGAACAGAGGCGGCCTTTCCGTTTGCAGGCGCGTTGAAAGCGATTGCAGCCGTCAGTGTCATTTGGAGAATTAATGTCTCGACGGCATCACGGGCTCCCGCCGAACGCATTTGCATACAACAGGAAGTGCACCGCGGCTAACCTGTCGTCGTCGCCTGTATCGCACCTGTAGACCATGAATAACGCTACAGCTGCGCGTCGCATTTACAACAGCATCAATTAATTCGTCAGCGTGAATTCACTTTTGCCCGCGATACCTTTATCGGTAAGTAATTGCGCATATCCCTTCTCGTAAATGGAATCGCTCCCGCTTACCTCCGATGTGTAACACCGATACGAGTCCTGCTCGAGCCTCGATCAGGGATGCCGATTCAGTTACATTTGTAGCGCATAGAGGGGATGGCTCTTATGTCTGTGTGCGCCTCTCACTTCGGCTAAGTGTGGCTGAAGTAAGAAGCGCACACATACATGGGAGCCATCCCCTCTACGCGCTGTCAGCGTGCTGCAAATGTAACGGAGCGATTGCCTCGATGTAAACGTGACGATTGCGCGCGAGACCACTTTTAAGGCAATTGATCGCGGCGAGGAAGTGACGACAGACCGTGTAATCGCGCTTTTTAAAATGAAAATAGCATCGTGTTGAATTTAACAGGTCGTTCTCGACTTAATTTTAAACGGAAACGGAAATTTTATGGCAGGAGGGTCTCTTTCTCTCTTTTTCTTTCTTTTTAGCTAAGAAACAGAATACATATGCAGACAGCCCAGAACAAACATATAATTATATTTAGAAGAGTGAGGAAAATGTAATTGTGTGGTTTTTAGGTGCCATTTATATTGATTAATTGTATTAAAGTAACTTTTTTACAAGAATGATATAAGTCCTGAAGGGACTTTCAGTTTCCCAAAAGGAAACTATTTTTTATTTAAATAAGACTATATATAGACTGTTTTTAAAGTCAGCTAGATAAGTGAAACTAACAAAATAAACTAAAAATGAGAAGAGACATGTGATTCCCATCTATCATCTAAATAAGGGTGACGACCCGAGACACCATATTGATCGTACTGTCTTTCGGTCTCAATATTCCATTTAACATCTACTTTAATGCTCTGAAGTCTAGATCAATCTTTTCTGATTCCATTTAATTCTACCAGCTTCTTCAATTCCCATGTGTATTAAACATAGACTGATCTTCCAGAATATACAGATGTTAGAAAGTTCAGGGGTTAAGTAAAAGTAGATTCGAGGAGTTCTTGTTAGATTTCGCTATTAAATTTTTCTAACATTAATAATAAAGTTCTGAATAAAAAGTAACATATATGAAAAAAGAACTATCATCTTTTTTATCCAAGAGCAAAGAAATAATCCTCGAAGAGCTGAAAGGATAGAAGCGAGCTTCATATATTTTGATAGTTCCCGATCAAACTCTTGACCCTCAATCTGTAAATAGTCCACACCAATTGGATTCACAGATACATCCAAGTGGCTACCTTTTCGCCGCCCACATCACCTCTTATTATTACCTGCAATTATTTCACGCGAGTGGAAATCAAATTTGACCTGTGCAAATTGCCGTGACCCGTGCGTGAAAATATTCGGTCGACTGCACCATTCCCGTTCTCAGTCCATGCACGTGCAAACGGGCGCTCTTACTCTCTCCTCCTCTTGGAAGAGAAATTCATAGACAGAGATAGCGAGCGACAAGCCAGAAAAAAGGAAAAAGAATGAAAAGGAAGGAGTACGAATGGGAAGGAAAGAGTGAGAGAGAGAAAGAGAGACATAGAGAGCGATGTTGAAGGGGGGGACACTGGAGTACGCGAAAGGAACGACGTGAAGACACCGCGAGGAATGCGCACCTGGGAACCCTCTTTCTCTCTCTGCCACCTTCGCGGCGACGCCCGCGAAGGTGCCGTAGGATGCGGGGTCTGAGCGGCGGAGGATGAAGGACCTTTCAGACGCGGTCTGTCCCCTCTTCGGCAAAATGGTAGGCGGGAACGTGCAGCGCAAACTGCGCGACCTGTTCGAGTCCGCAGGCGTCGGAAGCGGGTGGCCGACTTGCGCCGTGTGTTGGAAGCGCGTCGTCATCCCTTCCCGAGTTCTCGTTGCTCGCCAAGCGAGAAACACGCCCTTCTGCGGTGCCGGGACGCCTCTTTGGAATCGACGACGTCGCGGATTGAGCCAGACGCTCGTGAGCGCTTGTCACGTGTGGGATGCTATGTGGGTTGGAGTAGTCGCTTTTGTGTTGGATTGCGATACTGCTTACGTTACTGGCACGTCATGACCGCGGTCATGATCCGGCACTAGGCTGCATACTGCCGCTTGGCTGTTGAAGCCTATGGCTCTCTAACTACATCGCGAGCGAGAGACCGGAAGACTATCCAATAGGGTTTTGAATACGATTTCGTCCTTTATTTGGGGTCCACTTTTAAAGATGGTCCGGTATGGACTATGAACCTTGGACCATTAGATATTTCAAAGCATTCTACTATATAATGATGTCATCAATGTTGTGTATGAAAAATCACTTCAAAATCTACAAATGTCTAATGGATTCCATCTTATATCATGATTCCACAGTTTGCCCAAATTGGGTTATTGGAAGGACTTTTGCCAAAAAATGATATGATTCAAAGTTCAGGTTTAGATTGAAGTACTTTAATGAAGAGATAATGGAAACTTGCTTTCCAGAAGAAAAATCCCATTAGCCAAGTTGTAGGGGCTATTTTGTGCATTTGACTTTAGTATGATCATCAATCACTGGTGATCGAGCTGTTGTACACGCGTCTAACTTCTTTTGTCGCGATTTCGCATGGTATTGATTGAATCCCTACTTGGTTCCTCGTCCTATTTTGCTGGCTCGTGGTGATCCTCGCGTGTCCCATCGGTCCATACCTTCAACGACATTTCCTTCCTGCGCTCACTACTATTAGGTATATGCCGATAGTTGGACGGTAACGCTGAGCGTTTCCCATTTCTATGCAGCCAGGTGTAGGAATAGAGTTCAATGACTCAGAAGGGGAAGAGCTCGCGAGCAGGAAGGGGTAAGTGGGAGACATCTTTCGCGGCGTTCCGCGGGATTGACTGCGGGGAAACGAGCTGGTGAGCTTCTCGTTGCGTGAACTCGCGCGTAAGTAGGAAAATGCGTTGCTCGATGGAAAATACGATGGAAAGCACACGGTGGAGAGGCGGAGCTTTCACCGCCTCCACCTACGTGCCCACCTTTTGCGGGAGGTTCTGTCGTTCAGCTGGGTTTCCCGGACCTTTTCCGCAGCCGCCCTGCCTCTGTCTCTCTCTCTTCCTCCCTCCCCCCTATCTCTCTCTATCTCTCTCTCTCTCCCTCTCTCTCTCTCTCTCTCTCTCTCTCTCCTTTTTCCACCCCTACTATCATCCGCCTCCGCGGGAACGGCTCTGAGCCTTTTCTTCATCGACTGTCCCTTACCGATGATGATGGTGTATTCGTCAGAGGGTGTTTTACAGTCTATCTCCTTGGAAAAACACTCACCAATATGTAAAGATTAGTGGTGGGAACAATAGGTAATATTGCTTATCGAACCGATAGTTAATCGAACGGCTGAAGGAACAGATTGATCTTGAGACCAGGACAATTGGCAAGAATTGGAGCGAGACTGGGGCGCGTTACCAAGCTGTTACGTCGTGGCACACCGATTAGAGCACGATAAATCCAGCGGGGATTATTAGCAACAAATGACGCTGTAAAGAATGTTCGCGCGTGGCTCGCTCAGTTTGCGAAACGCGTACGGTCGTATATCACGTACACGGAGCTATGGAAACGTTAATAGCTTCCCCCAACTGCGAGTGCTACTTTGAACTGTGCATGTAAGTTTCACTGATTGAGTGCGCGTACTTCTCGCGATCTAAGATTAGCTGGAAACTTTTACACGTCCTTTCACTTCCCTTACCTTCACTTAACCAACAGCTCTAGGAGATCAACTAAAGTTGCCTGTACCTACCATTCCAGCCGCCTCGCAAAATAGAGAGATCAAACATTTCCTGTTAGCGACATACCCTTTCATTAGAAATTTATCTCATAATTCTGACCAGATTGATCCCAATCAATTATCTGGTTTGCATAAAATAATGTTATCGGGTTTTGATAACTCATATAACGCAACATGGCAATCAGGACTTTATTAAACAACAAAGATTATGAATAATTAGAACCCAATAATCCATTATCTTGTACATTATCTTGTACAAGCCAGATAACTAATTGGGATCAACCTGATCAGGATAATGGGATAAATGTCTAGTCGGACCTTCTTCCTTCGTCCACTTTCTCCCTCGATTATAACGCGTCATTTATTTAACGCGCAACGAGCTCGGCGAAGTGAGCGAGCGGACTCCATACAGCCGCTCGACTCTTTGTCGTTCTTTTTGCCGGGACGTTGGGGCGTCGCGTCGGCAAACTGAGCTACCATCTTGCCGGGGCGCTCTTTTACCCCCGAGTGCATCCCGCCTGCGCTCTTTCGCAGGATTTCGCACTCTTTCCCACCCCCTCGCGACCCCTTACGCCACGCGGATCCATACGTTCGCGGCTGCGGAGCGCGACGTCGGGAGCTCCACCTTCGCCGCCACTTTCGCCGCCGTCGCTGCCGCCTCCACTTCCGTCTTCGCCACCTCCACTTCCGTCTCTACCTCTCCCCACCTGGCTAGCCAGGCTAGCTCGTATCCTGCCGCGCCATTTTGCGTGACCCTTTTTCTCGCAACACCACCTTCGCGGTGACCTTTCGGCTTCCCTGCGCCGCGACCTCTTGTCGCCCTCGGCCGCTCAGGCTTTAATCAGCGGCTCGTTCGGGGCGGCACGGAGATAAGGGACGGAAATTAAACGTTAGACATTCACAGGACGCTACAGTGCATTTTTAAGAGTTGTTCTCTCATTAGAGCGCGCGAGTACATTGACGCAGTCGAGTCGGGATTTGTTTTGGAGTGTAGCTTGAACTTGAAAGAAGCGTTTCGTCCCGGTGTTTTTTCGATGTTCTCTTATTTTGCAATATGATTTTAAAAGTACGTTTCCGCAAACTTGTCTATTGAAATGTGCGTTTATAGAAGACGATATTAAATCGACCTAGAAAATAGAGAGATCAAACATTTCCTGTTAGCGACATACTCTTTCATTAGAAATTTATCTCATAATTCTGACCAAATTGGTCCCAATCAATTATCTGGTTTGCATAAAATAATTATCGGTTTTGATAACTCATGTAACGCAACATGGCAATCAGGACTTTATTAAACAACAAAGATTATGAATAATTAGAACCCAATAACATTACCTTGTACAAGCCAGATAACTAACTACCTGATTCTGAAAGAGAAACCTACCTTTAATTCCGTCTTACATTCGCCGAATAAAGAACGTTAGTGTTCTTTTATGCATAAAGTTCTCGATGATTTATACGTATCCTTAATCTTATAATTTACTCTTGATAGTATATTTAATATCTTCCATCTAATTGTCTTAGGATATTCATATCTGTTCTGAGAATATCTACGTAAACTGAAAGATAAGGAAACGCAGAAATAATCAAAGAATATTTTTAAGAAGATGGATTGCTTTCTCAGACGGCAATAATATTCGACAAATTATTTAAAGAAAATTACTATATAAATATATTTGAATTTTATACATGTAATTAAGTATAATATTCGTACATTTTAACAAGATTTATTTTGTTTGTATGGAAATGACATTATTGCATTCATTGCCATTCCGAGTCTGCAGCTCTTGCACAGCTCCTTGCTTTGCATAATTAGCGTTTGTATAATAGTCCAATCAAGAAAATGGAAAAAGTTTCTTATAAAATGATATTGCAATTACACAGTCTTTCGGGAAAAAAAAATTTTATTTTCACTTCAGTATCGTTTTATAAAATAAAGCAGAAGTAAATTTAAAAAAGAATTTTAATCTTTCTTTTAAAAAGTGTCAAAAAATTTAATCGTTTGAAAATAAAATTCTGGCCCGATATGATAACACTATTTTACAAGAAATCTTCATTTTTGTAACATTTTGGTTAAACTATTGTACAAATGTAAATTATGCAAACTAGGGAGACGTGCAAGAGTTGCAGAGCAATGAATATTCTGGTGCCACTTCCGCACGAAAATAAATATAAATTTTTTTAAATTTAAATATGTAAATATTAATTACATATGTAAAATTCGGATGTATTTATTTAATGGCTTTCTTTAAATAAATTTCCGAATATTATTGCTTTGTCTGACTTATAAAAGTCTGACTTATAAATTTGCTCCTTTTATGTGCTTGTTTCAATTTCATGTTAGGAAGAAATGTTACCGGAGTGTTATTCTGGCGATATTTTTGTAGTCCGATAGCTTTTCTTATTTTAAAGCGAGAAAAAAATAAAACTATTTATTCTGTTTGAGCAAATGACAATTTAGAAGCGAAATACTAAAATATCCTCGCACGTACCTGTAGAGTCTTCTGCACCTCCGACGGGGATATATGATTCACCGTCTGTCTCTGCCCGGGGAAGAAATAATTGGAGACGACGCAGCACAGTTGTACATTCCATGATCGTTTTTATTTCGATTACAGAACAGCGATCGGGGAACTTACTTCTCTTCTTGATCCGTTTAGTGTATTTACAGTAGCTCGCAGGTGCATCGCGAGAGAGAGACTGATTTTGCGATGTTCTAAAAGTTTCTCGGTAATTATACGGCCGACGCGCCGAAAGCCGATCGTTGAGGAACGCAATGTTCGACGGCAGAGGTTTGTTACGCAATCGTGAAAGTGCGACGTAAATAATTCGAGACGTAAAACAAGAACCACGATCGAGTGCGATCGGCTTTCTCTCTCGCGTCGTCCTTTCGCGTAATCTTATAAGATTCTGTAATCTCGCTTGTGAAACGAGGATACTGTAGAAGAGCGTACGGCGCGATCGACAACAACGACGACGGCGACGGCGACGACGATGACGACGACGACGATTTTCGTCAAGGGGGAATCGAAACCGCCTACGTTTCGCAGTATCGACACATCTTCAACAAGCGATACTTCGTTAAGTACTCAAGTGTCGACAGTGAACACACATGACGTAGACGTATATGCGATGTTTATAGTACAACATACAACATGCTGATGTTCGAACATAATTTCACAAGCAATTCAGGTGTATCCGCAATCGCACGATCGGTCAGAAACTGCCGTCGCGAAAATATCGTTAAGGCACACAGAGACGAATCCAATATCCAACAATTTAACGTCGAAGTGCGAAATTTATCATGTGGATGCAAACCTAACGAAAGTTACTTGTCAGGTAAAGCTCAATCAATGTGCTCTTTGCTTCTTGTTTCTTGTTCTCTGTCTTTTCCCGGCTTGGTCAGAAAGAGATAAAAGGAAAGGCACGGGAAGCAAGTAGCACACTGTAGATCGAGCTTAAATCTCTGGAGGGAGTCGAGAGAACGACACTAATAGTGATCGACTACCTAATAGTGATCGCGAATTGAACGAGTTATTATAAAAAAGAAAAGAAAAAGAAATTACTTATAGTCACGGCTTTGATAATACGCGCGAAGCAAAGAAACTCCGCGCAGTTTCCACAGGGAGGAGGACCAGGCCGCGGGTGAAATGCGGCGGCAATGATCGTCGTCGACGCGCAAAACTGCGGCGAGGTGATCCCGGGGCGACGCTTGGGTGGCGATCTTTGTGTGTGTTGTGTGTTTGTTTATGTATGTGTGTTTGTGGACTAAGGAAGTTAATTTACTAGCTCTAAGATGCATAAACGTACACGTTAAGTCTAGGGAGTTAATTTACGTAAACGCAGAGAAATATACAAGTATTTACACGGGCGACCGCGGGAGGGCTGTGGGGGTTTGGGCGGTGGCGATGAGGGGGTCGCTCGTCGATGATCGCTCGTTGCCACGGCTGACCATCACTCGGTTCCCGACGCAGGGCCGCGTAGGCGCGGATATGCGGCGGGATGTCGAGTCGGCTCACATGTAGATACGTCGCAGATCGGACGGTGACGTAATCATGTTGCATTGCGGACAGAGCTTCTTCGCACCCTGCAACACCGACAAGAAACGTCGTTTCTTGACAGCTTTTGCGGCCGGAGATGTCGTCCGACGTCCAGACTGGATGCGGGACGACAATCGAGAAAACAGCGAGGAATCGAGGGTGATTTCGGATGAAGACGAATTTCGATGTATATTTATAGACCTCGATCAATTTCTTTCTGCTTGTACTTTGGTGATTTTGTTCAAATCAATTTCAGATCAATTTATCGCTGATCAAGCTAGCGTTTAGCAAATCGCGTCTGGATTTTAATTCTCGTATTCTCGATCGTTTGAATATTAAATTAATTTATAATCATACCATAATTGTTGTAAAATTTTTAGTATATTTAGACTGCGTGCGTCATCCAGTTCGATCTCTCTTAACGTTTTTTATATTGAATAGTATTGTATCAATTATGGTAGATTAAACTGTTTGAATTGAATAAATATTCAGAATTTATTGACTGTTTTGAGAGATTCCTTTAATTAAACTCTTAAATAAAAATGTTATTTATTGAAATTTTAAGTGCTGCCTGATTCCCTCTTCTTGAAAATTAATTCTGTATTCATATAATTCAATTTTAAATTAAAGAGACAATTTGCCTGTCAAATTTATCACACAATTTACCTGCCTTGGAATTTTGTTTTGTGTATTTTTGTTTCTAAAATTTTGTATACCAAAGGGTTTTATTTTCGTAGATGAATAAATTAATATTAACATTTTGGTGTGCAAATAGAATTTTCTGACTTGTTTTTCTCTTTGGTGGAATTCGATTCTCAATTGTGAGTTTGAAGGATCTAATTGCTTGGGCGCTGTTACTATGATTGTAAAAGGAAAAATGAAAAAATAGACTCACCAGAGTGTGCAACCAGCATTGTTCGCAGTGTACGTGCCAGCAGCAGACCGAAGTGACTGGCTTCTTGTACTGTTCCTGAAAAGAGGAAGTCCACGCGTTCGGTGAAACAGTCGATATGCGTTTCACATGTTTCTTTGAACGTCGGGCAAAATATACGAAGTCAGTCAAAACGTGAAAGTTACGGTTCTCGCGAGTAACAAAGACGCAACAAGTGCGGTGGTCGATAGCACTCGTGGATAAGGCAGATAGGTAGGTGTCGATATAAACGTGGCGTCCAACTCGAACAGAAAAGTTCTAAATATTGTTTGTATCTGTCTCTAGAGGCGAGCGGAGTAATAGGCAGCGTACTGAGGTCTGCTACACCGAAGGTACCAGATTCAATTCCCGATAAAACTGGAAAATTTTCATGCGCTCGTGTCTTCTTGATAAGCAACGGCAAAATCACTGAGAGTATTTTTGCCACGAATATCTGTTTATATCAGCCATTTAGTCCGGCTTTAGACTGTAGTTCCCGTATATCATATCCGTGTATAAACAATGTACGCGCCACAGATATATAAGAGAGGTCATCACGTCCCAAATACTGAGACAATAGAAGTAGAATAATAAGTACCGGCACTATATCGGTACTATGAATGCAGGAATAACACAATGAATCTCGGTCTGAGTGCCTTGAGCGGCTCCTGGGAGTTATCCTTTGGTCATAATAATAATTTGTCTTTACTTCTTTCTGAATGATTTGTACTTCGAAGGGTTGAAATTACAACATTTCCAAAAGCCATGAAGCAAATATTTTGTGATTTTTAGCCTCTATTTACTTAGCCGTAAATATACGGTTTAAAGGATCGTTGTGGGCATAAAATCATAGAGGAAGATTGCCTTTATCATGTTTGTGCATCAATTACAGCAATTAATTGTCTACAAAGTCATTGTAACTTCGAAATTCTGAAACATGTGACATCTAGCTCCGGTCTTTTTCTTTAAAAACAACCTTCTTTTTCGAGAATGCCGTTTGCTGTTTTAAAATACTTCAGAAAATGATAAAGTTAATCCTTTGACGAATTTGAACAATGTAATGTCGAACTCTTCGAGTCACAAACAATTCGAATCAGACTTTGAAATATCTTCTCCGTTCGCTGGTATCTCCTTTATGTTTCCAGTTGCAAACAAAACGAAAGCGAGTACAAACAGATAGGAGCAACGATGCTCAAAGCTCCTTTTGTGTTCCAGTTGGATGCCAGGTTTGTGCGTGGCAGATTTAGAATCGAGGATTCCGCGATCAGGAGTCGGATTGATACGTTTGGAGCCTGTTCTCTCGGTGAGTTTCGTAAGATGAATTTAAAACGGTCATTACCCGCGGCCGTTACGTCAGTGGCATTTCTCCCAGGGCGAATACGTCCACCACGTTTATCTTGAACGACCGCAGTTCGATACACGTGAAGTATTTTACTACCATGTTTGGTAGCAACGAGAACGCTTCGCAGCGAGCGAGATGGTCTGAGCGCAATCGCAAATACGATCGCGAATATGATCGCGCACCTTTTATAATGAAGTCAAGTCGGACAAGTCCGTCGAAATAGCTTGAATATTTTTTCCGCTAGCATCAATCATAAATCTTGACCACGCACATCTATATATTCGTGCATCATGACTGTTGACTATTCTGAAAAAGCGGCAATGTTGTTAAGAGCTTTAATTTAATTATAAACTCTTAAATTATACTAGTAGAGAAGACTGGGGCTAGTTTGCAAAACAGATTTTTTTCTAGTATTTTCTAATAAATTATACAAGCAAGATTTTTAAACATGTCAAAGATAGCTTTGAAATCCCTGCTTGCTTGATCCTGAAATTTGGTAAAAATAGTAGAAATAATCGATTTTTGTCAACTTACTCCGTTAGAAAAAAGCCCCGATCTCTCATATATACCAAAGGGCTTGTTTTCGTAGATAAATAAATTAATATTAGCTTTTTGGTGTGCAAATAGAATTTTCTGCCTTGTTTTGCTCTTTGGTGGAATTAGATTCTTAATCGTGAGTTTGAAAGATCTAATTGTTCGGGCGCTGTTATTATGATTGTAAAAGAACAAATAAAAAAACAGACTCACCAGAGTGTGGTACGAGTTGAAACTCCCATATATTTTTATTTATCTTGATATGTATATACGTATGTATATAAATATTCCAATTCGATAGTTTTCCTTAATCGAGATTCATCTTGGAAAATATTTCTAATCACTTTTAATTTTCACGAGAATGTAGTCACGTGACACTTCTCTTTTCGGAAAGTAATCTGTCTTATATAATATGGGGAACTGTCAACGGATCTGTTCCTTTTAACTGAACAGGTAACAAAGAAAAATATATTTTGTTTCACTCTAACTGCTTGCCCCAACGCACACTAGTTCAGACAGTTCAGCTAAAAAGAACAGATCTAATGTCACAGTTGCTTCTAGATAACATTGACACTTTTTCGAAATAATCGACAGTCATGATGCACGAATATGTAGATACATGTGGTCTGTTCTTTTTAGCTGCACTGCTGAACTTATGCAATAAGTTGAAACGAGAAGAGTATATTTCTTCTCTAACTTATTACACTAACTCAGCAGTAACTAAAAAGAACAGAAGAACAGAAGAATTGTGCAAGGTCCAGATTTTCGATTGATGTTACTGAAAAAAATGTTAAAGCTTAATTTCAGCAGAGTGTGTACTATATCGCGCTGATGAAAACACTTGTGGTCACAAGAGAGCGCGAAAGGCACCTTCTCTATGTTTACTCATTCCTTGGAACGGCTGGCATTACCACGACGATAATTTATTCGGCAATCTGAATATTTCAGGCGTGTCAGAGTCGCGCGTGCCCGATGGGAAACGCGGAATTTTACGCCGTCGAGTTTTACATCCCGTTTTACGATTATTTACGACGAGTCGAATGTACGCGCGGGCTGCTCGCGTTTGTTGCTTTTTGCGCTTTTTTTTCGAATACAGATAAAATGCGAAAAGAGATAATATAATGTAACGTCACAAGCACGTAATAATGCGGGATACACGATAAACGCGCCGCGTTATTTTTTCCTCGCTTTCTGGGAGCAACCGAGTTGACTGTAACGATAATCTGATTACGGTGACTCGATTACGAACACGCGCCGCATTAGCGTTCGAAAGTTAATCGATCCAGTTCGGTCACGCTCGGGCAATAAAACGCGTTTTTCCAGAGTCCTTTCGAAACCTAATTTTCATTATTACGGCGGTTTTATTTATTTTACGGAGGGTATTATGAAATTTGTCTCATTCTCCTTGCAAACAATGCATTATCCCATAAAATTTCAGCTAACGAAGCAATACTTTTTAATTCGACTGTTTTACCTGCCCGTTTTAAAAAGCCGGAAATGCATAATTCACGACGCGAAAAAACCAGCGACACTTTTCAATTTGATGAAAATCGTCTCATCGTTTTGGCGATTTCCAACTGTTTCGAAGCACATCGAAGAAAAATGCGTCACAAGCCTCTTTTCTTACTGCCGAGTGCGTTTTTGATACTCGTTGCGTTTATTTTCAATAAAAAAAAAAATTTTTCAAAAAAAGATACATATATATACACCTAAATTGTACAATCTCATTTTCGGCGGAATTCTTTGGATTCCAGAGCATTTCACTCTTATATATGGCCTCAAGAGTGTTTTTTTAAAACCAAAAAAAAATATTCCATGCACAATATTCTTAAAGTTAGAAGAATTTACCTACATTAAAAAAAAAAAAAAGAAAAAAAATCGGATGGTGAAACTAGAATCGAATTGAGTAAACTCTTAATTTTTAAGTTATATGGTATATGACGAACTAATTGCTTTAATTCTTTCAGCGCAATTTTTTGATATTCTAGTGATATCTTATTTGTGTCAAACAAGATAAGAGATCAACTTTAGTGATACTCAATAAAATTAATTACTCAATAAAATTAATTACTTATGATGTTAATTTGCTTATCCTGCAAGATAACGATAACCAAATAAATTGTCAAATGTAGTAAGAGGCCGTTTCAACAATTACGTCACGCGAAATTTAAGTATTTTTATCTCCTCCCCTTATACTTTGTCACAAACTACTCCTTTCCTTACAATGAATAAAAAAGTAGTTTATGATCATAATTATTAGGTGACTAATAACTATTAGATCGCGCTATATACTATTTTTTTCTGAAATACTAATAATGTTTAGCCATAATATCAAATTAATTACTTTATTTTACACTGAAAGAAATTATCCAATAAAAAATTAACAAGGAGATATTTCCGATCAAAATACCGATGAATTTTTGTATCAGAAAACATCCGACGAGAAATATCGGTTTATAATTTTTTCATCGGTTTATCTGATAAAATATCATGATCGGAAATTTCCGATAAAATTTAATCGGATATTCTGATCAGATATAAAAATTGATCGGAATTTGATCGAAAATATCCATTTGTTAATTTTTTATCGGGTAATTTCTCTCAGTATATTATTTTAGTTAGTAAAAGCGCGCTTTTAAAGAAATAAATATTTAAGAATTCGCGAAATGGTGTTTCTTAGAGTCACGTGTTTCCTTTCTCATTCTCACAGATTGCAAACGCATTCCACGACTTAGTTCGGCAACGCGAAGTACGAGCTGGTTAATTCTGCTGATTAACTCACCATGCAAATGAGACATTTGAAGGGCTGGCCACGCATTTCAGCCTCGAGCTCGCGAATACGACCTCGAAGGGCCTCCACGACCGGCGTATCGCCGTCCCTTCTGGGCGATCCGGAGGCACCCTCGTCGGGGTCGTTCTGCTGGCCGACGGGGGTCGCAGAGCCAGGCTCTGGCTTCACCTCGACCAGACCCTGTGCGCTCAGCTGGTCTGGTGTCAGCTGTTGAGGGGTGTGCGGTGCGTTTGGGGAAATGACGGCCTCGCGAAGGGCGTCTCGCTCCTTCTGCTCCCGCGGCGTGCCGTCGATTCGCGGCGCGACAACATCCGCTTCGGAATATTGCGCCGGGCCGAATTCGGCGGCGTCGTCGCCGTCGACCACCAGATCCACGTCTTCGTCTTCCTGGTTGCCGGGACCACCACCGGCACCGGAACGATTGCTCGAGGAGGTGGCGAGACCCGCGGCTACGAAGCAGAAGGAACAGGGTGTCTCTCAAAACGTCACCGCGGATCGTGAGAAACTGTGTAGGGTACACTCATAGACATGCCTAAATGTAATACAACACATAGTTCCTACCGCTCCCGTAGTCAAAACTTGTCAAAAAGAAAAATAGAAGGTTGCTATACGATCACCAACCTGTCTTTTTCTAACGACGTGTGGTGGGATGAAAAAGTCTTCGGTTTCCTCGACTGAGGAGACAGAACAGTAAAAGGGGTGAAAAGGGATGAAGGGGAATTGCAAGAGAAAGATATGTATGGCGCATCTGGCAAGGACGCTCCGTTTCACGGCAAACATACAGTCAGTGGAGGGGAGCTGAAATCCTCACTCCACAATGTTAGACAGAGACAGAATGGTGATATAAAGTATGACGTTTCTGTTCAATTTTTAAGCCAAATTCTCTTTGAGTTCAATTCTTTTCAGTCAAATGAGCATTCTGTATTATACGTCTATGGGTATAATCGTATCGTACGAAACAGCAAACAATATCGAAAAACTTTCGGCACGTGATTTCTTCGTGAATTATTATCTTCTTGCAAATTAAATTATTGCGCCTAATATTATCGACTCAATTTTTGAATTTTTATGTGGTTGAATACTAAGAGTCTCTATTTCTTGACTGGTGTTAATTGTTGTAAAGATAGTTTGAATGCGCAAATACATTCGATTTACGATTAGCTACGACTGTGTTTCTGTATTATAAAATATATCTGAAAATAGTTTTATGTGAAAAATTGATAACATTTCTTGAGTTTCAGAAGAAATATTTAAGATAAACGGATTGATGATATCAAAATCTATTAATAGCATTTTGAATTGGTCCCGACACAAAGTGCTTTCTTTATGCCCCAAAACGCAAACTAAATAAACTCACACATAATTACGACCTAAATCACACAAAATTTGCAATTATCGGGCATGCACGCGTTCATTTTATGTTTCTGCGACGCAAACATAAATATATATTTAATGCATATTGATATAACATTTTTACATAAATAAAATTACGCCGGCGCGCAATAACCACGAATTTATTACAAATATTTGCCTACGCGCGTATCATAATAAATTCGCGTGTAATTTATTCTGGCCGAAATATAGCATCACTCACCAGAGAAACCACCAACGAGCATAGAAGTGGCACGTACTCTTCTCTGGCCGGCCCACTCGTATTCGTCGAAGGTCTCGGCGTCGCCCTCGACGTCGACCTCCTCTTCGTCGAGGGTCGCGTTCTGCCCGGCCGGGTTTCCGTTGTTCTGCTTGTTCAGACAACGGTCGACGTGCTGATTCAATTCTTCCGGTGTGCCCGACAGCCTCTCGCTGCAAACCGGACAGGACGTCTCGTCCGCTTTTCTCTTCCGATTCTTAACGCGTATTCTGGCCTACACAAAAGAAATGACAACGCACATATCGTTATTATAATACCGGTTGTCATGAGAAACACGTTAAAATGCATGATACATAATATTATAACACACGTATAATGTACTGTAATGTAATACACAAATATTGTAATAATTATTACGTTTTTCATATTTGATCGACGCAATCGATCTTGTGAGAAGGTTCTGAGTTAGTTAGCTGAAAAATTAGGAAAATTTTATAATTTCTTTTTCTAAAAAACGAGTAAAGATATCAACACAAAATTTTGACCATAATACTTATCATTGTTTTCATGAGAAAATTATTTTTTTAATAAACCGAAATAATAGAAAGCTCCTCGAATAGATTAACTAACAGTAAGATTTGAAAAGGCACATAAGGAAATCTTACTGTTAGTTAATTTATTCGAGGAGCTTTCTGTTATTTCGGTTTATCTTAAGCATTGGCAGGAAGAATATGCTATCTCGTGTAATAATATCTCTTACGAGATCGACTCTTTCGTTCTTTCTCTCTCAACTTACATCTTAGAGAATTTATAAACATTGTGTTGCGAAATTACTGTCGAAGCCTCGGTGGCCGAATGGAAAGGCTGAGCGTCCCGCTCAGAAAGTGGGGAGGTTCCAGGTTCGAGTCCTGGCGGAGGCAGTTTTTTCGCAACATATATAATGAATCTATTTGAGTCATCGGTTTAATGGGGTTTTTGGGATTTTAATAAAAAATATATATATAAAAATTGGGACTCAAGGATCGGTCTAAGTATGGAAGGTTGATTCTCCGGGTATGATAATCGAAGAAAAATTTCGATACGTGCGTTTAACATACTGGACAATTTTATCCTCCCACAATCATATTAATATTAAAAAAAGTAATATTAGTATTTAATAGCACTAAGACATACGTGCTTGCTCCTTATTTGCCTTTTCAAATCTTAATGTTAGTTATTTTTTTAATCACAAATTGAAATGTCGTTGTCCAGTTTTTGTACTTATAGACATGGAAAATTATTAAAAAAAAATTTGTGGAGTTTTTTTTTGTACTGAATACGAATCATACATGACCTTTAATTGGTGGATGGCTTTACAGTACATGTAATAATCTAAAACACAAACGGGATAAGAAAATTGAAAAACAATTAAATTTGTTTGAGAATGAACTTCTTTATATACAGAAAGGCGAAATTTAATAAAATTTAAACGGCATTTTGAAGTTACGAGTTATTTCTTCTTTCTTTTTTTTTTATTTAGTGTACCAAGAAAAATAATAATTTTAAAAGTTGAAAGTTTTCTAAGAATTTAGATTCATTATCCAGCAATTTAATATATTTCTTGAATTTTTTGTTCAAGTTGTTTCCGATTATTAGACAAATTGTAATGTTGTCTATCAATTAGAGATGTCTGCGCTCAGTAAAAAGAAACTAAAATTTCAATTTTTTTAAAATAATTTTTGTATACTGCAAACAATAATAAATAAACGACCAAAACCTTACATTGATATCTTTATGCGTTTCTTTGAAAAAATTTATAAAATCTATTTTTTGACTTTAAACTAGAACTTCCTCTTAATTCTAGAGAGCTACCTTTAGTAGTCGGCTGTGATAAAGAAATTTTGTTTTTATTTATTTTTCAAGTTATATTCTCAATGCTCCTTTAAGTTTAAGCGGATAAGAATTAAGGTATTTAGATCACCACGCGAATTATAGTTACTATAAGACTAAAGTAAGTATTAAACTATAAATGAGAAATTATAAATTTTGGAAAGTTATAGAGCTGTCGCGTTAACAATGAATGATTAAGATACAAGTCAACGAATGCGTTACCTGTCTGTTGGCCTTGATCCTTTTGTATGTCTCCCATCTACCTTGGGGGGTGCCGTCCGCCGCCGATGGGGCATGCAGCATCGATCCATGGGGATGATCTTGGGGATGCGTGGGCGGCAAGGTCGACCTAGAAGGTCGAGGCCTCGCGGACGCAGAGACCTTATAGAGCCGATCGAGCTCTTGGGCAAAATGTTGCTCCAATTCTTGAGGTCTCACTGTCACGCCGCATACCGGACAACAAGATGGGTCTGAGGGAAATTTTTTCTTGCCTGAAACACAAGAATACACACAAAACGCGATTAAACTTTGCTTGCAATGTCTATGTAGAGGTAACAATTTAAAAAATAACGAGAAAAATCGACGACAATCTTGACATTTCTTTATCTCTTCGTAATAATAATAGAATAAATATAAGTATGAGATATATAGTAAGTAAAAATAATGATAATGATATACACTTAAAAAATATTATCTTTTCAGCGAAATCCTCTTATATATGGCCTTAAGAGGATTCTGTTAAAACCAAAAGGAAAATATTCTAAGCAGAATATTTTTTTCTTTTTATTAGAAAAACTATTATTAAAATAATTATTATTAATGTTACATTGCTATTATTATTACTAAGAGGATCCTTTTGCTTTAAAAATTTTTTAAATATAGAATTACAGGAAACAGCACCTCGAAATTAGAGTTTTTTTTTTGGGTGCTAGAATATTTTCCTTTTGGCTTTAAAAGAATCCTCTTGAGGTCGTACATAAGAGGATTTCGCTAACGATGGGATTATATTTTTTAGGGATATAATAACAATAGATGCGGCACATTTTTCCTATTTATTAGCGTAGCAATCAGTAAAACTGGCTTGAGATGCCGCATATTAATCGCGATTTTTTCATAACCTTCGCAGCAACAATGAGAAACCGAGACGTCACATCATGGCAACATGTATGTCACGGTTGCTGCGCGTCAACGAAGAGAATAAAAATCGCCTGTGGAGCGTCTCTCAGTTTGAACCAGAAAAGGGCAGAATCAAGAAGAGAGAGTCCTCTCTTACTCGACGATTAAATGCGCTCGAAAGATGTCTTTGATGTTCTCAAAGATTCAGCGCGCGTCCTGAGGAGCGCGGAGCCGGGATCACCGCGGGCCACTCTTGAGAGACATCGGCTCTAATGCGATTTAAAAAGTATTCAGCTCGGCCCGTAATTACTTTCCACAACGGGTCGCCGTCGCCGTCGCCGTCGTCGAGACGCGCGCATCGCATTAAGCCCAGAAACGAGCCGCGAAACGAAAACCGCCGTCGTAGGTCAGCGCGGGCCCTGGCTCGTTTACTCGCAATTTATTGCCCCGTAAAACGGCGGGCAAAAGAAAGAAAAGGAGGAAAAAAGGTCACCGGCGGGGCGGAGGGAGGGAAAAGCGCGGCGCAAACGGCCGCGTGCCCGTGGTAATCCGGCGGGATACTTCTGTCGTGCCTCTCTTGTGCGGCCCGACGCACTCCGACGGGAATGCATAATTAATCGCGAAAACTTGTCGCCGCCGCCGCTGTCGAAAAGATCCGCGCGGCTCGAGGGTAAATGCATAAGCTTATAGGAAAAGTTCGCGGGACGGACGCGCCGGATTCCATCGGTTGATTTTAATTACACGCTAATCGGCCGTATCTCAAGCCGGGCTTCATAACATTCGCTCGCCGTGCCGCCGTGGGATGCTGGGAAATCTTTACAAGCCGATAAATATTTATAGCGAGACTCGAGGGGGAGGCAAGGCTGGCTGGCTGACTGGCTATGCGATCGTCCACCCGGATGCATCGCGCTTTTTATTCGGAATCGCGGTTTATCTCAGCGTGCGCGCGTGCATCGCTCTTCGATGTCTCTCTGAGGAATCTCGCGCGTCGACGCGTTCGAATCGTCGGATCTAAATTGAAATCTAAACGACACGGTGCTCCTAAGAGCAACGTCGCGAGCACGGCACTAATTTATTGACTGGCAATAACACGAGGGATAATTTCGCATCGATTTATAAACCGAACGCGGCGCGAACATGCATCATCCACTGGAATTTGCGCCAGGAGTTCCAGAGGAAACGAGTTGAAGTTCTATTTACGGTGCGCGAGTCTCGTGTGATATCACGCGGATATCTCTGTCACGTTCGCTCAGATCGCACTCCGGGCTCCGCTCCCGGATCGGAATTTCGCGCGAGTTGTAAATATCGGGATACTTTACGCGACGTATTACAACGTCGCGGTAAACCAAGGCTTCCCTAGAGATCTTCCTTTCTCCTCTTGGTGGAAATTCACTGCAGTTTTCGAGCGGCTGCTGGATAACTTATGTCAAGTTATTTATTCGTTAACAACAGGAAAATCCTCTTTGTATAGGAAAGAAAATAAGATGCTTGATATGCACATAAAAAAATAATAAATAAAAATTATGTCTAATATAACTGAAGAGTAAAACTACTTAGAATTCTAATCAAGATGTAGAGGACAGTTATCGAAATTGGGCCGGTTACCTAAATCCTTATTTTTTTAAATGTTTGTAGCACGTCCAAAATAAGATATAAAAATGAAAAAGAAATTTTTTGTCTAATAAAATAAAAATAAGAATAATAAAATAAAATACATAAAAATAAGAAATAAAAATAAAAAAATTTTGGTTTATATTTCTCATTGCTCATTTTTATTTCTTATCTTTTTACCGTTTAATGTCGTTCATATTCAATAATAATAAAGAAATTGATGAGGCACGATTTCGAATTTTCCTTTAATACTTTTTCTACGATTACTGCATACAAAAGATGTGCAAAATTTGCGCCCATTTACTGATAATAAAATGATAAATAGAACAAAGAATCGATAAAAAAATCACTCAATTACTTAACAATCAAATCTCTTGCTCGTAAAATGACCAGGTTTGCTTTAGTAGTATATCATTTCTCGCGCATGCTTTCTAATTAAAAAATGTTAATGCTAATGAGAGTCACAAAACAGAAAACTTGTGTAATATATATTTTCTCTCATGTTTTCCGCCTTTTGTACATGACACTCTCGCAACCATCAAATGACACATGTCCTTTCATCTATTCTTGTAATCTTGCTATTAGGCTTTGAGTTTGAGCTGTTATGATAGTTTTCACTACCATCAAGATAGTCCGATGTATTTTGGTAATAATAAAATTCCGTATTATTAACACAGTCCTATTTGTTTTTTCTGCTCACTTTCATTTCTCATCTCTTGTTATCTCTGTTACAGGATTAAATATCAATTGTCAAATATCTTGTTACCTTCAATATTCTTTTTTTTTACTTCATACTTTTCTACACGTTCACTCGTCGTTCACGTAACTTTAGGTTCTTTTCCAACAACATAAATAAATACGTTTCGAATTTATTCACGGCAGATACTACAATACGTGCATTATAAAACTTAATATTACTGATACTATGTTTTTTTTGGAAAGGATCTAAGGTCTACATATTGCACAGTAAACTGGTCCGACCTGTTTTTATTTCAGTTCCATCGCAGTATTTTTGCAACTAATGAGAATGCATATTTGACAATAATTAGTCAGATGTCTACATAAATCACGTATTTTTCTAGTAGGGTTTTCCTTGCCTTCAAATACACGAATTTTGCGTGAATATAATTTTCAATTATATTATTGTGTATGTTTATATAATTGTGTATGTGTAATTTGATAATTGTAATGTACAATTTTAATTATATAATAATTTACATTTTAATTATATAATTGTGGTCATCATTTAATTGCACCGTGGCAGTTAGTATTATCCAAGTTGGCTTTTGCGTTCTTTTTTCAAAGCGAGTGCTGTAAACAGATCCTTACTTCCCTGCTGAAGGCGAACTATACGCACACCTAGGTATTACGCTTTGCATAATTAGGTGTTTCCTTCATCGGTCTTAATCGGCCGTGTGCTGGCGGGACCTGGCGATAAAATAACGCAAAGTCGACGACGCGTGAACGCGCACTTTGCTTGCGCGCTTCGGGATTCCTGAATGATAATCGCGATCTGCCTCGCGGAGCGAAGCGCGATAACGTCTCGGTTAACGGAAGTCGGCGAAATTAGCGTCGCGACGACGCGATGAAGAAAGACGACTCGGAGGGAATGACACGAGATTCATTAGCCACGTCGCGCTTTCCATATCGCGCATAATCCGGGATTACGTCTTTCCCGCGACCGATCGCTCTCAATTGTTAAACCGTCATAAATATTGCAGAAGGTAGCCGCGGGGAACTTCAGGCCGTTGCTAAAAGTATATCCTCTGTCGAGTTTGCGGATCACGTCTCGCGCGCTGAAGGATCTAACTGGCATCTTCTACATTTCAGACGCGAGGTGATGTTTTCATTTCGAGTTCGTTCATTTGAGAGCACTCTTCGTGCAACTCTCCAAATGTTGCACAAACGCCAATAAAGGATTGCAATAATTTATGCACGAAACGAATCGTACAAATGCTCATCGAGATGTAACTATCAATAATATTGGTAAAACCGTGCACTGTCAAATTAATGTCCGAGCTTGCGAATAATTAGCCGATCGCATGCCATTTTCTTTTTTCCTTGTCAGTGATGTGGATAAAACAATGCTGTGAAAGAGCCAAAATGTATGAAACCGGGCTATCATTATAATTTTTGGTCCGCTGAACTCGAATATGAAGCTTAAAATAGTCCGGGGAACTTTGTGAAAATGCAATTTTTTTTATAGAAAAACCTCGTTTTCCAGCAAATACTTTTTAATGAACGATTTAAAAGTGAACAAAGGAAGTTTCTTTATTGATTTTTCATTAATATTTTTGTGACACTTGACATATAGAGGAGACCGGGATAAATTATTTTTACTGTCCTTTAAGAGATCTCAGAATCAAACACGCAGGTATTTCAAAGCCATCTCTGACGTGTTTAAAAATCTTGTTTGCTTAATTTTGTAACTTTTTAGAAAATACTAGAAATAATCGGTTTTACCAACTTATCCTAGCAGCTAACTAGCCCCGACTTTCTCTACTTGTAGTTCTTACTAACCGAAACCTACTCTTTTTTTTTTTGTTGTCAGATATATTTTCAAAAAAATTAAAAGTTTCTTCTTTGTAACAAAAAAGTGGTTTATGTTACATCATGAATAACGATGTGAGCATTAGTTAGTTGCTCCGTACATGAACGCTGCTTTCGATTGTACGTTATCTCCTCTGCATTATGATTCACGGGGTTGCGAGAATAAATCAGATAATCAAGTAACATTTGTTAAATTAAAAAACATCAATAAAAA